TGAGCCTCCGGGCTCTTGCTTCGCGCAGCGGGGTGATGGTGGGCTGGGCTCTGGGTCTGGTCGTGTTCCGGATCGGGGGTAGACCCTCTCCAGACACCGGATGATTGCTTCCCTCCAGCTCAGTCCAGAGGTGTCTGGGAGGTCAATGGGGCGATGGTAATTTGCCCCGGTCCAGAACAGTAAGGTCAGCGTAGCGTCGTCGAACGCTGTTAAAACAGCGAGCTGGCTGAACTCAACCGCATTTTCCAATAGGGAAAGGTCTTTTCGGGCAAGGGAGGTAAACTTCCAGGCGAGGGGATCCATAGAAACACAGAAAACAAACACGGAAAACAAAAACGGGGGGAAACACGCAAACACTGTTTAGGTTCGGTGTTCTGTCACGATTGCCTACGGAAGGGAAGGAGGAACGAGGAACGCAGGAGAATCACAATCAACAGTCTTTTAATATCTGAAACAGGGAATACATGTAGCACAATGGACGATAGACACCGGACAAAGGAAACACAGGCCGAAGGGATGGAGGAGCCTGACAGATCCGGAGGGACGAGGCGCAGCCAGAGGAGTGGAGTCCCGAGGCGGAGCCGGAGAGACGAGGGAGCCCGGTGGAGCCAGTGGACTGATGGGCCACGGTGGAGAGGAGGGAGCTAGGAGCCAAGGTGGAGCCGCTGAGTCGACGGGCCGAGGCGGGTTGGAGGCGGAGGCCAGGGATTCTGCAGCCACGATGACGATGGAGGATGGCAGACCCGCGGAGCTCGCACCATACAGATGGTGGGCTGGGCACATGGGGGAGAAACACACAGAGTCCAGGAGGGTGACATTTCACCAATATTGATACTTGCTTTCGTATTTTGTTGCATTGACATTCATTTTGAAGCGTTTGAAGTGTGTATTTTTTGAAGCTGCTGTATGCAAATATTCTGATATAATCTCATGCTCAAACTTCACAATCTCAGTTCCCCGTTTTTTTTTTTTTTTCCTCAATTTGATTTAAAAAGTAATTATATTTGAACAGATTTGAGCAGAAGATGAATGTCCAAGTATGAATCTCTCTTATTTGGTGGATTTGGCTCCATAAATGTGGATTTACATCAAGTGTCTTGCGCTGGAGCACACGTGGATTCATGGGCAGTGCGTAATGCATCAGCGCCTGTAAACGCCTGCTAATCTTCATGCCGAAGCCTCGACCCCTCTTATCTTCCCCTCGGGCTCTTCCTTTAATTTGCTTTCAATTAAGATCAGCCAGCAGCAGCAACTCCTGAGACACATGCATGCGGTGAGAGATCCGTGACTGTAATTGAACACAGCGCTGTCATTTGCCTGCCGTTTTTACGTCACAAGAAAGCACTTTGCTCTGCTGCTGTGGAGTGGGCTGCTAGATGAGCGTGGCATGGCTTTCATACCGAAAAAAAAAAACTAATAATCATTTACATTTACTTGCAGAAAAATGTCTGTTTTTTGCAAGAATGTGCATTTTTATATTGTACTTTCCATGCCAAAATGTCTACCAAAAAAAAAAACATATCAACATTTCATACAATATTACTTTAACAAATCACATCCAGTACAAACTATTTTCAATAATAAGTAATAAATGTCAATGTCATTAAAAATTTCCAAATGAATAAAGCAATTGTCCTCAATATGCTTTATTTGTACTATGCAAAATATACGTTCATACAATTTGTTGATGTAATTAATCTTCTAAAGCTTAAAAAAAAAATAGTGTGAAATAAAGCAACAGCATTCTCTTTAACAGCTTTAAAATTGGACATGATTTACGTAACCATTTTAAGTAACATTAAGTTTGTCATTTTAAAAATATATTCATTCTTTTCAGAATATTAGTTTCAAAATAAACATTGTTCTCGGAAGAATTGTTCCAAAGCGACTTACAGTGCATTCAGGCTATACATTTTTTATCAGTATGTGTGTTCCCTGGGAATTGAACCCACAACCCTTGCGCTGCTAACGCAATGCTCTACCACTGAGCCACAGGAACATTTACATACATAAGATGTCTTATGAAATGGGAAAATGAAATGAAGGGTCTCAGACCCCAAGCTGAGCTCAAGATGGTGTTTCTAATGTTTGCCGCCTGCTGTCTTTACTGACAGGCACTTGGTGGCGCTAGAGATTAAGGAAAGTTTTCTATCCTGATTCTGTAGTTTAAAATCATTTGTTTTCTTTCCAGATTAGAGGATTCCTGTCAAGATTTGACAACGTTCTTCCTGCGAGCTTGGCATTCGACAAATGCACTGCATGCTCACCGATAGTAAGTGCTTTTGATTTGGGACTGAGATAAAGGTAACTTTATTCAAAATATTACGCAATGCTTGAGTGATGCATTGTAGTTCAATACTAAAAAAAAAATATTTGTTATAATGAATATGCTTGTGTATGGAGTCTAGAGAGTCTGCTGGTCTCTTAAGCATGTTCTTCTGCAGATATGTGAAGGATCTATAGATGATGCACGTGTGTTAGAGAGGCCATGTGTTGTGAGTAATTAGGGCTGAATTGAAGTGCTTTTTCCCAGCGGTCGCGCTGTTGTCGACGGGTTCACGTCTCATAAATCAGAGTTTGGCTGCTCAAGTTCTTCTGCATGTGTGGATGTGCTCTTAATTCAGCAGCTCTGTAGCCACTCCTTCCTCCGAACACACACTCGTATGTGAACACAGTCAGCTGTATCCGCTCCCTTCCTCCTCTTCTGCTGTCGCTCCACTTACACTCACTTTCTCTCCCAACTCCTCTCTCTCGCTCTCTCTCTCTGCTTTCTTTGTGCTGTAAAGACATAAATAAAGCCTCATAAAAAGTCTCAGATCTTTACACACTTTGATGCGGGACTGTTGGGGAACTGTGTGAGGTAAATGTCTTAGGGTTCCTAATCATGTCTTTTAAAGGGATAGTTCATCTAATCATCAACATTTAGATTATTAAATAATGTTTATGGGTTTAGTAAATGATAACAAACTTGTATTTGTGGTTGAATTGTTCTTTTAAGCTACTGAAAAAACATTTGATTGAAACAGTCCATGAGCTGTAAATGGGCCTGCATGAACATCTTTAGTATCAGTTTCAGTAACACTTTATTTTAAGGTGTCCTTGTTACACGTTACATGTACTTACTATAATAATAACATAAATTATGCATAATTACATGCATGTAACCCTAAGCCAACCCCTAATCCTAACCCTAACCATATAGTAAGTACATGTAGCTAATTAATATTACTCAGTACTTAAATGTATAATTACACTGTGACAAGGACACCTTAAAATAAAGTGTAACCCAGTTTCAGCTGATTTTGATATGATGCTGTTTATATTGTAACCTTTTTACAAAACAGCTACACATTTCAAACTCGGCGTAATAAAGGTCATACTATGCTCTGAGGAAACTCCAACCAGCAGCACATTAAAAACTTTAGCCCATTGTCTACAAGCGTGTGTTTTTTCTTTAGTGGACACTGCGCACTGCTTGTTTGTTTGTGAGATGTGACTCTGTGAGCTCACAGAAAACACATCCACACCATCCTACATCCGTAGTTCGGCCAAAATAATTGGACGTCATAGAGAAGTGCTCATGAGGATATATATAATAGATCCTCAGATAGATAGATGATAGACAGGCAGGCAGGCCATTCTGTCTCAACAGAATGTCTCTGTCTCAAAAAAAAACGAAAAAAAATAAATATTTTTTTTTCTTCCTGGTGAAAACAAGTATTAAGTTTGCATGTCTGTATGTATATCTTAATGTCCTATTATATTTTAGTTGTGGTTGAATTAAATTGTATTAATCAAAAAGCATGTCTAATTAATTAAAATCATGAAACTTAAACAATTTAACATCAATTTATTAAAAGTTTAACAAATATTACATGTTTAGGGCCCTATGAAATGTTTTATTTTTTCCAACCTTATCCTTTATTGTTACCAAATTCTGTTTTAGCATGTCTAATTATTTGAAAGCATAAAACAAGTTTCATTTATTCTTACAAAAGCATTATGACTTTTTGCTCAGAAATTCTGTGTTGTGTATTTACATTTTTTTAAGGCATAAAACATTAATTTAATCTATCTTTTAAGTAATGAAAATTAAACCCATTTTATTTTTGGAAAATAAAGGTCATTTAATATTACAATTAAAACATTGAAAAAATATTGTAAGGTTTTAATAATTTTAGTAGTAGTAGTAGCAGCCTGTTACGTACATTCAACTCAACAATAGTAATATACTACTCAACAATAGTAATTTATTTCTGCCAATGCCCTCAAGTTAAACCGAACTTTTATTTTGACGGGTTGCCGTGAATACCTTTACATTTCTCTGTGTATATGATATGATGATAGTTTTACTCAAATGAAACGGTGAAATTCTCATGAAGTGACTCTCAGAGCAGTTCTGGAGATGTTGTTCATGTATTTATGTCCTCATTTAGTGAGACGGCAGATGCTAAAATCACCGCAAGCGTCACGGGTACTTAACGTTACGAGTGGTAAACAAAACCGCACGTCTGCGCCATTCATTGACACAGAGACACGCAGAATTCATATTTAAATATGAATTGTTTTGCGGCTTAATATTTACAAATACTAGTGCGAGTGTGCTCACTTTTGTGTGTGTGCGTGGAACTCCGCTGTGCGTGATACAGAGACCGCGACCATAACGTAGAGACCGAAATGGCATGCCGTTGTGTAAATAAGATAAAAAACAAGGCTATTTAGTTTGCTTAATAAAAGAACAAGGTATAGACCTGTTCTATAGGAAAGGTAACTTTAAATGACTTCTGTTGTGATCTGGCGCTATAGAGAAAAGCGTATGTGACCCGTGCTGGCAAAATGAGTGTGAATGCGCACAGGGTCATTTAGATCTAGAGACAGAAAAGGGGAAAAATTTCACTTTTGGTTAAATTTCAGGTTTTCACAAAAATAAGTTCATTAAGCCCTCGTTTAGCGATCCCAGATGCTCCAAATAGTAATTAAACCTCTAAAATGATCCTTATTTGTATGTTTTCTGAGAGGAGTACCTTTTCTCTGCTCACTTCATTTTGAAGGTCATTTTGAAGGATTGAAGGTTTAATGGAGAATGTGAAAATAAAAATAACTCATTTTTGAAAATGTGCTCATTGTGTCTCATTTTGCCAGTACAGGTCACAATTGAATTTATTTTAACTAAAAATAGATAAAAAAAAAAAAAAGAATTAAACTGTAAAGTAGCACTTTATAATTTTCACTGTATAAATAAACAGTAATGACAGACAGCAGCAGGTTTATTTAGGCTGCTGTCTCTTTAAGACCTCATACACGGATCTAATATACTGTTGTGATCTGGCGCTATAGAGAAAATATTATTAAATAAAATTAACTTGACCTTCAAGGGGGGCGGGGGGTGCCGTTGCGGGGGCGGGCCGCCCCCCTAATATAATAATAGGGGAAACACTGCACTTCAAATGTTGACTACTGTATTTTGTTTCCCCGTGTCAAAGCAAATGCATAGAACCTACATGCATGAGTGCCAAAAACTTTCTTTTTTAAAGTTTGCATGCCTGTAACTCAAGAAGTATTAAGATTTCCTAATATCCTTTTAGATTCTGTTTCCTGATCTTCATTGTTAAGGCCCTTTAGTTCCAGAGATAGCAGGACCTTAAATATTTCAAAGTTTGAGCTAATATCAGTCATTCTGACAAATATGCCCCTTAGCTAGGGCTGCACGATAAATCGCATGCGATATTTAACGCGCATCTTGTCATAAATCCGGTTCTGTAATCAGCGGTAAATCTCCATCAAGTGCGTGCTTTCACATTGAGCAGCATTAACTACACAGAGCCGTTGTTCACTGACGAGTTGCGCAAAACCACGTTCATATTCGCGCGATTTTTTGCGCAGCTCGTCAGTGAACAACGGCTCTGT